GTGAGGTAGAAAAGGAAAATAAAAGAAAGCAAGGGGAGCAAAACAAAAAAAAGTAATGTTCTCCATAATAATTGACATAACGAGCAATTTGAAAACTTTGAAAACTTTTAAAGTTAATTCTATTCGTAACTTTAAAAGATGATACATAAGATGACACAGTATAAATTAAATACGTATTAAATTATTTAGCAAAGCCTTACAGCTTCACATTCGGCCAGACAGCGACTATTTATAGGCCATTTTAAATATTTGCCAAAGCAATTAGCAGAACAAATAGGTCGCATATGGAGCTGAGAGCCTGCCTTTCTAGAGCTTAAAAGACAAAACAGCTGACCTTAGAGCTACTTTCGACTTACTTTCTATGCATTTTCGATACAATTTCTATGGTATTTCGAGCTTATACATATTGTTGTATATACATATATAGTAACTACTTTGGTACTCACCAGACTGTCGGCCACATTTTGACTCATTATACGAGTACACGAAGGCGGGCAGCTGCTGCAATTACTTCAATGTGCGTGCTTAGACTTTGGTAAGATGCAATTGCTGCTGCTTCTGTTGTTGTTGTTGTTGTTGTTGTTGCTGATGATGATGACTGGTATCTGTTGGATACGCGCATTTTGACTTGGCACAGCTAACATCTACAGATACAGATACAGACACAGACGCAGATACAGATATAGATGGACGTTTGCTGGAATTGTGCAACTGGCGCTGGTTGCTGGCAAGCGGATGTTGTTGCGGCCAAAAACTTGCAATGATGGGTTCGATGCGACGCACAAAATTTCAAGTTTTCTTTTGTAACCCAACTGTAAGAAAGCGACGGAGAAAAAAAAACAAACAACAAGATATTGGTAAAAGCAGTGAAAAGCATTTAAAACTCGCACAGTTAACGCGTTTTCTATACGCTCAATGGAAAGTGCGCGACGTCGTCTCGACCGTGCCAACGAAATGGCCAATAAAATGCGTACATGGCCCACAGTCCAAAGGCCCCATGCCCCACACCGGATTGCAGACCCAAGCGACACTTAGCGCCCCACGGTAACAACTAAGCGTACTCAATGCTGCGCTGAGCTGATGAACGTGATGAGCAGCTGATTTACGATATTAGGCGACAGTAAGAAGCAGCAGCAGCAGCAGCAACAGTGGCAGCAGCGGCTTCTGCGCACAGTGGAACCAACAAGCTGATTATTGTATTTATGTAAATTATCAATTAAAAAATGTTAGCCCAGTTACCAAGCAAGAATTTATTTTTTTTAGTATTTACGTCGGTTTGCCATTCACAAATGTTTGCTCGGCTGTCAAGCAAGGATATTTATATAGATAAAAAATCTTTTGAATACCAAATCCGAATCCTTTTATCAGCAAGCTCATTCTCAGAGAAAAGCCATGAAAACTAAGCAAATTAAAACTTTAAAAATGTTTGCTTGGTCTTCTTTATGTTCGCCTTGTCTCTTTTTTAATTAATTTTTCATTATATATTTGAAAATTTGCTACTTTGGACCTTGAATAAATCAAAACAATATTCATACTGAAATTATTATTTTAGATTTCAACCTCGGATCGTCGCTAGACAACTGAAGCCCCAATGACACGGTTACTTTGAGAGCTGCCCACTAAGGATATGGGATTTACTTATATAGAGAAAAAATAATAATGTATTCTCCCAATACAATTAAGCGAGAATATTTATATAATATACATAAATAAATAGAATACCTCACGTATTTTTTTAAAAAAATATCAACTTGGACTTTAACATTAAATGTGGCTGCTGTGGATTATCTGTTCGCTGATCTTGTACCACTGTGCGACTACGATCACGCGTCAACGGCGACGCTTGTCAGTCGACCAAATGATGAATTTCTTTTTTACCACTCGTAATCGTAGTGCCTGTCGTACGTAGTTCCAAAAAGATAGCGGGGCTTGTCGAAATGTTTTAACAAACGCACAACGCTTATGAAAGTTTTGTTTTTTTGCCCATCTTCTCTTGTTTTTGGCCAGTTTCACGTGTATTTTTTTTAATGTTGTTGTTGTTACATTGGTATGTGTTCTGAATAGCTGAATGGGACACATGGAAAAATGCGAAAAATGTTTGTGCAGACAATGCACAAGCAAAACAAAAGAGTGAACAGGTAGAGTTCAGATTTTCGGCGAATATCGTAAAAAATGTATGAGAGATTAAGGCAAACATCAGGTGAGTTTTTTTATCTTACAGAGCATAAGCGGAACTTAGCAGCATAAGAGAGCGCTTAAGCGCTTCCAAACTTAGCAGAATGAGAGCGGCTAGGCGAATATCGTAATTTTAAGAGAGACGGGGTGAAGAATATTTTTTGCTGATGTCTAGTCAAGCTTATGAAGTTGCTGGTAAATTTGAGTATATTTAACATGAGCAGAAATTAGCTATGATAGGTGTGTATGAGTAAATATGAATATCATATAATTGCTGCGAGTATACAAAATAAAACTTGCATTATAAACTCCTCTCAAGTGTAACCTGATGCTGTCTAATTCTCTCATTTAAATAAGTCAGTAGCTAGATCATTAAGGGCAATTCTTTTTGCCTAAACAAGCCATCATCAACCTTGATTGCCTTGGAAGTTAACTGAACCTTTTCAAAACAGACTCGGAAACGGACTATGAGCCAGATCACGGCCAAAGAAGCTCTTAATTATGAGTAAATGCCACCATATAGTATGTATATATTTGTTCTTATATGTGTTGCCATGTTTGGGGCGATCTTTTGTGAAACTAATTCATTAGCATTTTGAATTTTAACAAATCGAAAAACAAGCTCTGCTATCTTTGCTCGCTCAGCTGCTCATAGTTTTTGTTGTTTGTTTGTTGCAAAAAAATTAATAAAAATCAAAAAAAGATAAAGTGACGCGCGCCTTTTAGTTCGTTTGCTTTTACACCTCCGCACGGACTGAGTGAGGCCCAAATACGATATAAGCACACGCATACATATACATACAAAACGTATGTATGTGCATGTGCTGCTCTGCTTGTTTTTGTTGTCACCGTGCAATATTTTGAAATGTAAACGCATTTTTATTGCTGTTATTATTTTTGGACAACAACACTCGGCCTGGCCTTTTACGCTCCACCAGAGCACGGCTTGGCACGCTCTCCCCGCGCGCTCAGTGAGCGCACAGAACTCTCTCGCTCTTTCAATGATCTCATTGCTGGTATGCGTGTGCTGCTCTCAGACTTATTTACGATATCAAATTGCTTTATTAGCCAAAACCGAAAAAAAAACCCAAATAAATAAAAAAAAATCACAGCTAAATCTTTTATACTCTCTCTCTCTCTGCATAGTTTTTTGGAGTTTTTTTGTTGTTTTGATTTATTCTTCGCGATGATTTTTGTCTTCACACGCGTTTTGGACGTGTTTATATTCGACACAAGATTGGCCAACAAAGCAGCAAAAAGTACACGGGAAAAATTATATATTCTTTAAGTTAAACTTTTTATGATGATAGATTTGCTCTATTGCTTTTAAATATTTTATATCAAACATGCTTTATAGCTTGAATTTGATAATAATTATTCCAAATATGTTTGATTTGTATATTCATCATTTTTTAATTTTAAAATCTGTTCAGATTTTTTGTGCAGCTTTTCTTTACTTTGAAAATTGTTTTGTATCCCAAGTTTTGAACATTTCGCCGTACATTATAAAGTCGCACCTAGTATTGTAGTTTTTTATGATCGTCTCTTTGGAAAACACAGAAAACACGTTGCAATTGGCAACTGGTTTACAGCTATGCAACAACACACACTCACACACACACACACAGGCACTCGACACTCGATACACACACACACATACGCAGGCAGTGTGCACGCACACAGCTATACAACTGCAGGTGAGTAAATGGCAATTTACCATATTTTTTAAGTATAAATTTTCTCATACATTTTGAGCACTTTGTTGTTTTGTTTTTTGGTTTTGTTTCATGGTATTTGTTTAGGGGCCCGCGCAAACAATTTTGCAATTAATTTTAATAATATAATTTTAGATGTTGCAGAAAATTTTCGTTTACCTTTTACATTTCTATTTTGCCTTTGCTGCTGTGGCTGCTGTTCGGCTACTTTTGTGCACTTTTCACACACAAACTCGAAACAGAAAATGCCATTAATGATATGTGCTTGTTGCTGTTGTTGTTGTTGTTGTTGATCTTGTATTTGTTGTTGGTGCTGCCGCTTTTGTTGTCTTGAAAATTTTCGTTACGCTTTGGCAGACATTACGAGCCACTACTCTCCGCACTTTCGCGTCCCGCTTCACTCTTCCACAACCGTCGCCCAACAACGCGCCAGTTGGCTTTTTTGAGACCGAAACGAAAACGAGCGCCAACAGCGAACACGTCTATCTTTGGTAACACGTAGTTTGCGACTGAAAGCCAACACCGAAATCGAACACCGCAGCCACACACTGAAGCCTGGCGCTTCGAGAGTGCTGTGCACCCAACTCTCTTAAATCAAAGAGCGCACGAGTGCCGAGCGGCCCGCAACAACAGCAACAGACGATCGCAGAATGCGGCTGATTCGTTTGCCTGCTGACCTGCAGCCAGCGCGATGATCGTATATTGATCTTTAAAAGCAAAGACACGATTATTGGTCAGATATTTAATTAACACTTGTGGGCATTAGCTGAAGGCTCTTCATATATTTAAAAAAATTTGATATGGGAAATGTTTAGCAGAATAATAGTTAAAAAAAACTTCTGTATTGAAGAAGTAAAACGATTTGGCTCATTCTAATTTAATTTATGTCGAATCTAAAAGATTTATCAAAACGTCTTTTAAATGTATAAATGTGGGGAATTGATAAAAATGGAATATATGTTTAAAATTTGTTTAAAATCAGAAATAAATGTGCAAATGTACAATTAACGGTCTTCTGCCAACAACTTTTCACACAAAAATACGTAATTTTATAAAAATTTTAAAGATTTTACATACTGCATGTATATTTAAGGCGTGTCCACATCCGACTCACAAGTTAAACAAACTTCTGTACAGTCGCTTCTTAAGCATGTCGAACATGACCATGTTGTTGATGAGCTGCTCCAGATTGTTGCGGTAGGGCGACATGTTGCCCGTCGCCTGGAAACTCTGCTTGGCGCGTTGCAGACGTTTTTTTATTTTGGTCACATTGTGCAGTTCGCTAACAGAGTGCTCCGAATGGCTGGAAAGCATGGGCGAGAGCAGTGCAGCAATATCAAAGCTTAGCTGGAACTTTAACCCAACGTGCGGCACTGCCTCGCATCCAAGCAGCATTGTGTGGGAAGCATCTCGGGAGCGGGCGAGCGCTTGTTTCGGAAATGACGCCCGACCTGGGCGATTGCCCTGTGACGACTGAAACAAAACACAAAATTAATTACATTAATATATATATATATATATATATATACAGAAAGTAGCGCAGCCAGACTCACCAGTAATTTTGGCAGTTGCTCCGGCAGACTAAAATCACATTTTGGCTGCAGCACAAAATGCGCTCCCAGGCGTTGTGGTGTATATTGATAACCTTGGGGAGTTCGTTGAAAGCACGGATGAAGCTCTAATAGTTTCAGGCGCTTTTTAATTGTTGCCGTCAACGGGTATGTGTGCACCTTGGGCAAAACTGAGTTTAACATGATTTCGCACAGTTCCATTGATGAATATTCGTTGAATGCTTCGTTAGTGTGATGAAAGTCCGCGTATACGGCGGGATCCTGTATAAATAGCAAACGGGCTGAAGTTGTTGCATATTCAATTAGAGCCTTGTGCAATGGCGACTGCGAATTGTGCACCGGTGTTGATGTGCCGCCAGCTCCAAAGTGTCTTTCAAAATCATGAACATAACTCGTTGTGTTCATTTTGGGTTAAGAATGTGCAGTTGCCCGAAATTGCAAAAACGAATTCGATTTGAAAACTTATGTACACACTTATCGATAGCACTAGCACATGTTCGATTATTTGGCATTTGCCTATCGAATACATTTTGAAATGTTTATTTTTGTATTTGCCGTGTGCGGTCACACTGCCGTATTGAAAAAAATGGACGAAGAGCTGAAAACAATAAACAACGATTTAAACGATGCTCTGTCCAAATTACTTAAAAGCGCTCCGAAATGCACGGAAAGCGCATTGCAGCAGCGCAAACGGAAAATTGCCACGCTAATCCGACTGCATGTGCGGCACCTGCAGCAGACGGTGATCGTGAGCCGCAGGCGTCAACAGCAACGCACCAGACGGCGCCTTAAACAGTTGCGCTCCCTTTTCATGCAGCAAATGATCGAGCTGCAATCCAGTTATCTGCAAATGTTCGTCATGCTCCGGATGAAGCACGCCCAGTTGCAGCACGACGAGGAAATGGAGACAGTCAGGGACAACATCAACACTGCCGCTTCCGATTCCAACCTGGCAACGGAAACAGTTGGCCAAACGCTATTTTGGGAGCACACAATACCCCAATACAGCGATGAGCAGTTTCTGGATAGCCTCCATGTGACCCGCAGCACATTTAAGTCGCTCTGCAACCAATTGTCATCCGCCCTGCACTCGGTGCCAGATCTAACATCTACTGTGGGTGTCATTTTGCCGGACAAATGCGTGGGCTTGGCCCTCTACTTTCTGGCTAGTGGCGAGCGTATTTCCATTATTTCGGAACAGTTTGCAATCCCACGCATACACACCATCAAATGCCTGAAAGTGTTCTGCAATGCCGTCATGGCCAGCTTGGGTAAGGCGTTGCGCCGGCTGCCGCAGAGCGAGGCGGACTGTGCGAATGTGGTTGCCGGTTTCAAGCGGGAATGCAACATGCCCGCGGCGCTCGTTGGTGTCCTGGGCGTTTGTTGCATTCCTCTCCGCTGCCCGAGAAAGCAATATGCTGGGATTTCTACGCTGCGCATGGAATTCCTTTTGGATGATCGCATGCTCTTCCGTGAGCTGCGCCTGGGCAACGCCCATGGCACCAAGGCGCCGCTGCCACCCATGTTCGCGGAGGCACCAAACTTACTCAAACAGCTGCCTCCGCGCTGCATCAACAACCGTTTGGTGCCCGCCTTCGTGCTGGCGCCCGCTAATCAAAACTATCCGCTGCGTCCATGGCTGCTGCAGCGCTATTCGGATCCGGTGGCGCCGCACGAATACGACTTCAACGAGGTGGCCGACCATCTGCAGGAGCTGAGCGACTGCGCCATGCATCGATTAATGTCACGCTGGCGCTTCCTCAGCCAGCCACTAGACATTAGCTTCCAGACCGCATCCTGCATTATTTCAGCGGCCACTGTTCTACACAATCTGCTTGAGGAACTCAGCGAGCCCCATATGCTGGAGTGGGGCAACACGGTGGACGTATCCAGGTTCAGGTCAGCGCCAATCGATCCAAGGGCGGACGCCAGCGCGGATGTTAAGCAAGCCTTAGAAGTACGCGATTTTCTAGCGCGTACCATCAGCTCCACGGAAATATGAATACGACTGGCTACATATGTTAAGACTATATTGTATATATGGTAATGGTTAAGGTTCTACTTACTAAGGGGTGCCAGACGCAGAATAAATGATCTAATTTAAAAGCTAAATTGTTTTCTGTAAACTATAAAACTGATCTTTCATTACTGAATTGACAATCGACAACTTCGCAGCTATAGTCAAGTTTTTTATATAGAAGTTATATAAATCATTAAGATGGATTTAAACCTTAAATTTTGATTAATAGTTCGTTCAGATGTTTTGTATTGGAACTCAGCTCTGAATTGATTTATATCATAGAACAATTCAGCCATTAAAAATGAAACAAATGAACAAACTAATTTTAAAATGTTTGTGTAACTGGCATAAAGTATCACTATTAAAATGGACAAATTGATTGTCATAAGCAATCCCGTTACGTACATTGATCAAATGTAAATTTTATTTATATAAAATATTAGTTTGCAGCAGAGCACAATATAATTTAGTACAGACGCTGGGGTGGGCCCATCGATGACTTGATGTGCAGGGAGCGAACGTTCTGCCAGTTCTTCTTCAGCAGCGAGACCAAGAAATTGATCGACAAGCTGACGTTTTGGGAGAGCTCGTCTTGCTTCATGCCGACGTGTCCAACGGCAACGGACAGACACAGAACCTTCTTCATCTGGAACTTAATGGTGGACTTGACCTCCTCGATTTTGCCCATCATCGACTCCTGGTGCGACAGAAGACCAGGGAACTTGCCAGCCTTGTTCAGACCGGGGCCCAACAGACGTGGAATTTGCTTGATCAGCGATTCGGAGGCCAGGAAGGCGTCATAGGACTTGGCCAGTTTCTTAACCAGCTTCTTGTTCTTGTTCAGCTTCTTGAGAGCCTCAGCATCCATGAACTCAACGCCATTAGCCTTGGCCTCGTCGCAATGCTGCTGATCGCCCAGAATGCACACCTTCATCTTTGGACGTGGGATGTGTTTCAACCTGCACGATAAATACATAAATAAAATGTTTAGCAGGAAGAATGGAAACAAATTTGAGCTGGAAAGGAAAACGATGGAATTTTCGGAAAACTTACACAGCTCGCAGAGGAGCAGGCATTTGTAATTATGTCTTAACTAAGGGGTTCGGCACCATTGCTGGTGCCTACTCAATTTGATTTTAAGACCCTGAGTGCAGGTCCGCCGTAATGTGCGTGAACACATATACGACTGCCTAACGCTGAAGCCAATTCCCAGTGGGAATCATATGGTTCGCAGCGCAGGTATTTTAGCCAACGTACTTAACAGTGCCGGAGAAACGCTTGTCCTTTTGGGGATCATAATTTTTCAGGCCAATTTGGAGTTCCACCGTTTCCAGGAAGCCGCGCTTCTTAGTTAGCGAATGCTCCAGAATACCACTGACGCCCTCAAGGAGCGTGTCACGAGACACTTTCGACCTGTAATTGGAAATGAGGTTTATTATTTCTCTGTCCTACGAAATAGAAGTGAAAATAATGTTTAAGAATTGCGCAAATGGTTGCAACTTGCATAAGTAGTCACATATTTAGCACAAAATTTAAGTTTAATATTGCAATCATTTCCAAACTGATGTGGTCATTGATATTGGTCCAAAAAGTTGGTTTCTGATTGCCAAATACGATAAATATAATGTTAGACGTATAACGCGGCATAAGATATAGACATATACTGCATTATTTTCATTAAAATATTCAAGTTGCATTTCATTTGCAAGATTTTTCTGTCCACTCATGTGGTCCATATTATTTTGGATATAAAGCTGGTTTCTAATGGCCACATTCAATAAATACCGTGCAGAACATATAAAGTGGCATAAAATATATCATTATGCTTCTTTATTTCCTTTAAATTATTCACGATGCATTTAATTTTTAAAGATTTTTCAATAAATTCACTTACGCCATGTCTACACCTTGCGATGTGCGTTTCACGAAAGAAAGAGGCGAGTCCCAGCGATAATACTCTTAGATATCGATAAATTTTTAACAGAGTTGCTGCGATATTTATTGAAACAGTTGCTCATGGGTATATCGCTAGCAACAGGGTGGCAGCGCTAAGCTTTGCATGTACCACTAGCAACACGGTGGCAACGCCTAACTTTGCATATGTAATTAAAATCCATAAACAAGTTTTTAACTAAACGCAGCTGTTTTCTTTAAGTTTGAACAATTTGAAAGTCTTGTAGCTTTTATGTGCACATTAGTTAATTTAAACGGTAGGTGTCTCAGTCATAAACTATAAACAAAATACATTCTGATACTTACATACATACATATTTTTGCAGCTAACGCTCCAACTGGCAAAACAAAGAGCTTTCGCAGAGCAATGAAAGAGTGTGGTACCTGACTCGAGCGAGAGTGCAAGAGAGCAAACGTTTCGTCGTCAAACAAAACAATTGCTTTCACTATCTCCACGCTCGCATTCGCGTTGGGCCTGCGTTGCGTTTTAAAATAAAACTTCTGTCGGTGTGTGCCACTGTGATTGTGCCAGTGAGTGATGTTCCATCGCTGCAATATACGAATTATATAATTTATCCAAAATTGCACTAATTGATTTTCAACAGCTGCAAAGAACCGGCAATTTCCAATCTCCAGATAGCAGCGACTCCAGCCTTTGGATATGGCGCGTTTAATTGAGAGCAATGTAAGTTACGAAACAAGCTGTGCAGCGCAGCTTTTGCATAATTTTTGGTACCCCCGTTTTGATATACCCGCATTCTCATCACACACGCATATCACATTTAGCTAGGCTATTTCATAATTCTTAAAAATATACATTTGTATGTACACATATATGTGCTTGCCATTTGGCATCTCCCACAAAAGAATGCAAAGAAATATGCGGATATACTACAAAGGTATTTATAACGACAATCATACATTCCTTGCCCGTCGCTATTAAAATTGAATTGGGCAACAATAACAAGTTCATCATTGTTAAATGACGTCATGCTTTTAATGTTGATTTATATTCAATATGTTTTTTGGTCAGGAAGATTAAATTGATTAAATTTGTGTCACGCAGCTGCCCCAAGACCAGCTCAGCGCAAGGAATTAATTGCGTCACTGTGACTGACAAATATCATGTCCTACTCGTCCTACTCTTTGGTAGCAGAATTGAAAACATGAAAATTAGCTGCATCATTTCAACTTAAATACGCAAGTTAAATAACTTTTTCGAGAAAATAACAGTTTTTAGTATGAATGAAAAATATCAATATAGCTCATCTCTAGTTTCTACAATGCATAAAGGTTAATATTTATGTATGTGCGCTATGGTCGGCACATTTACTTACAGACATGTCAGCTGTTCATCCAGCACAACTGCTTTTGTACAACTCTCTTTGACAGCAGCTCTCTTTAAACATTTACCCTGCTCCTCTCACATTAAATTTTACTGTCATGCTCTCTCGGCAACCTGAACTTTTTGCTTATCATCGTTAGAAAATGTTTACTAGTGTACGCTCTACAAAGTGCGTAGCATGTATGCTCGAACACTCATGCACATAAATTTAAATTAAATTTAAAATATTAAAAGTCTTCTCCTTAAATATATAGTAGCAAAAGCTTGATAACAGTTAATTCGCAAGCATACTTACTAACTACATCATTGCAAATTAGGTTATAGAATAAACTACTAAAATGTCTGTCTATGTTTAGCTTGACCGTTTACTTCTAACACGCACTGTCCACATACGCGTGCTGACTCGGCACCGAGCCCTCGTGTTGACTCCACCGCTTCGACTTCATTTCAATTGGAAATTGTGCGCGGCGTGTGGCGGTTGATCAAACGTTAGCTATTTCTAATTGTCGGTCAAGTTGAATATTTGAATAATTTAAATTGGAATTCATAATATAAAGCAAGCAATATTCATCAAGTGTGTGAAAATGACAGATTTCGATGTAAGTCTAATAAATATAATTCGAGAGAAAATGAACGCAAGAGCTGCCGCGCACTGACCGCTCTCTTCCGTTCCCTGCTTAAGGCACAGCGGGCGCTCTCTGTTTATCTGTGCGTGACGTCATAGATAATTATACATACATATGCGCACATATCACCCGAAGCGCATTGGATGTCTGCCTGTGCAATATGAAATGTTGCCTCAAGTGGACTACGTTTTCAAGGTCACGGCCAAAACGTTATGGGTGTCAGTTGGTTGTTTCGCAAATGAAAATAACCTCAATAAAGTTTGGCTTTAAAGAGAAGCCCTCTCTTTTGTGGCTTCATAGCGAGGGCTTAAAGTTCACTAAAGCCACAGAGAGATAACAGGCTCAGATTTCATATTGGCCAACACAAATTGGGGCTAATACATGGGGTAATCGGGTATAGTAAGAAAGCATTGAAAATTATATGAAACGATGTCAATCGACTATTTGAACTTTAATCAGCAAAGGCATCTGTCGGGCAAAATAAATTAATGGAAAATCACGTAATGCCACGAAAGGTCCAAAAAAAAATCTTTTTAAATATAAATAAATTTGCGTCATTTTGATAAGATAAACAAATCATTTTGCCCGATCCATTCGATTGTGATAATCGATTTATATGTTGGTCCTACATAACTCTGTCCTAATCTTAATCTCAAATAACAGTTGTCTTTGGGTTTTTCTCTACTTACAGTTCGTTCCGATTGCCGTGGGCGTCGTAGCCGTCGTTGCCGGCGCCTTGATTCTCCACTATTTCATCAACAAGAAGTCAACGAAGCCGCGCCGCGAGCCGAACCGAACCGCTCGGCTGCGCACACTTGTGGATCCCAACGATAAGTATCAGCTGCCGTTGATCGAGAAGGAGGTGCTCAGCCATGATACACGACGTTTCCGCTTTGGACTGCCCTCCAAGCAGCATATACTCGGCCTGCCCGTGGGCCAGCACATTCATCTGATTGCAACGATTGACAACGAGCTTGTCATACGGCCGTACACGCCCATCTCGTCTGACGAGGATGTGGGCTATGTGGACTTGGTTGTGAAGGTGTACTTTAAGGACACGCATCCCAAATTCCCAGCGGGCGGCAAAATGACGCAGCATTTGGAACAGATGGAGCTGGGTGAAAAGATATCGTTCCGCGGACCATCGGGTCGACTGCAATACCTGGGCAACGGCACCTTCTCCATTAAGAAACTGCGCAAAGATCCACCCAAACATGTGACCGCCAAGCATGTCAACATGATAGCCGGCGGCACTGGCATCACGCCCATGCTGCAGCTGGTGCGCGAAGTGCTCAAGCGCAGTGACAAGGACAAGACCAAGCTGGCGCTGCTGTTCGCCAACCAGGTGAGTTCATAGCAAGGCTTTTCATCTCACTTTCTAAAGTCACAACTTTTGTTTTGCAGAGTGAAAAGGATATTTTGCTGCGTGACGAGCTAGATGAACTGGCCAAGAAGCATCCCGATCAGTTTAAGGTCTGGTACACCGTGGACAAGGCGGCCGAAGGTGAGCTGCGGCTTCCAATGTTCCGCATAAATAATTCCATCGAATCAAAATCATATTCACATATAGATATAGATTACTACAGAACATCCAACAGACTTTTACTTTCACTTTTAGAGAGCACTTTAAAGTTTATTAAGATTATCTCAATTCTAGAAAGAAAGAAAAAACATGCAATTAATATGAAATTTAGATTTATGATTGAGAAAACGTTAGCTTGTAAAACTAAATTGTATAGAAGAAGAAAAATTAAGAAACGAACTTTCAATCATTTGTAAAAGGAGAATTCAATTATAATTTAACAAATTAACCTAGTTTCTTTTATATACTCACCCTTGATCAAAGATATGCATGTCACAGTACAATCAGAATTCATTCACATAATCATTTCATCGATTCAGTGTAGCAATCTTAGTGCTAATGCTAAAAGCCATCTATTATGTTGAGAACTTTTGTGTTTGCTCCTCGCCACATGCTGCCCTCCAACGGATGCCCCGCACGGCGCACGCACGCTACATAGCCTGGTTGTACAATACCGGGCACATCAACGATGAGATGATGGGCGAGCAGCTTTATCCGCCCGATCCAGAGACGCTGTGTCTGCTTTGCGGACCACCGCCCATGGTCAACTATACCTGTATACCGGGCCTCGAGCGACTGGGTCACCATTCCGAGCAGCGTTTTAGCTATTAAGTGTCTCACAGCTAGCATCCGTATAATTTAATCGCGAATTTTGATTTCATATCACAATGCAGGGAAAAGGTTGCCGTCGAAACGCAGTTGTAAATGAGTTCTCAAGTTCATTCATATCTAATTTATCTGTTTGTCTATTTCCTCACAGGCTGGGCGTACAGTGTTGGATTTATCAATGATGAAATGATTGGAGCTCATCTGCTGCCGGCCAACGATGAGACGATTGTCCTTCTCTGCGGCCCGCCGCCCATGATTAACTTTGCCTGCAATCCAGCGTTAGACAAGCTTGGCTATCATCCGGACACACGTTTTGCATATTAGGAGCGATCACCGATCTATATAGGCGCCATAACTCCACATTTGGCAACTCACAATCATTGGAGACAAAAGTTGCATTTTTGTTTGTCTATTGCTCTACGCTCAAGAGTTGCATTTGGAATTGACCCAAGAACTAACTATATAATACTGAGTAGCCTCTGCAGTTATATTTCTGCATGTGTGAGGGTGTCCGGCTTCATGGGAATGTGGTTCAAATCGAACAGATGCAACAACTCAATACTACACTTTGTTTTTCATTTTTTCAATAAACAATTGTTATATACATAGAAGGCAAAAACACTTTCAATTTTGTTATCGGATTTACATAAACAATTTGTTGTCGTTGAACTCTGATTTGCAATAATTATTCGTTTCAATCGAATCGTTAATTCGTTTGCAATCATTCACTTTCATTCAGCACGAGTATGTTAATTTGGGCCATTTCTTATACATTCACGAAGTATTGTGTAAAACGTGAACTTGTTTAATTCAAAGAGGCCGTAAACCTGGTAATACAAATTTATATAGATGGACACTTCCAGGAAAACCTTACATTAATACAGATAATCTATAATCTTTATATATATGAGAGATTAAATAAATGACCAAACCGAACCGCACGACTGCGCACACAGATTTAAGTCCCGATTCTCGATATTTGTCCGAATGACTTCTGCACTTGGACAACTCATCTACCGAGGACTGCATCGAAATACTATATATCTAGGTTTAATTTATGCAACATTTATGAATATTATTTTCAAACAGTTGAAAATGCTGTTATTAATGGATTTATGTTCAGATTTGTCTTTTTTATGGTTTGCCATTTAATTTTATTGATGGTTTGCAATATTTGACAATAGTTGTATTATATGTAAAAAAAAAAGTCCAGAAGGGAATTACATATAAGGTTTGCTGTCCTATGACATTGATTTCTAATAAAAACACAGTTGAACTAAACGTGTAGTAAGCGTCATTATATGTAAATGTTTATGATAATATAAAAACTATAAGTTAGAGAGCGAAATGTTATTAATATTTCATGAAAACTGATATATTTCTCATATTTGTTGCGGGGTTCACAGAACATTTATAGCCTATTTAGTTAGCATATATGTAGCATAAATATTTTATGGTCTTTAGCTTCGGCCGATTATTAGTATGCATATTTGAAAGACATTGTTTACATACATATCTGGTTATATAAATACGTTAGAAATAATAAAAAATACGACATCGAACAAATAATGAAATCAATAACTTAAAATGTATAAGTAAGTAGCCTAAGATTGTTGGTTACGGGTTTTCAATTCGATTTATCTTGTGATATGATTTGCTGCTGCGCACGCTTTGCGTGACAAGCTCTCGCCGGGGATCTGGACTTGAACTTGGATCGTATAATCGATCGCACTTGTTCCTCGTGCTAGCTCATCTTCTTTGTGGTAGCTCATCTCATATATGGCCAGTTAGCATATACAATTGTCCAGTAGCTTGCCAAGTGTACGAATTGTGTAGGTGTGGGTGTGGCAGTGCACGTTTTATTCAGCGTGCGCGTTTGCAGCATGGCAGTAAAACCTTAATGCAGTCGTACTTACACTTACAACGAATAAAACTACTAGAGGGTGTACATTGGAAAATGCTAAACTACAATACAATTTGATCATGGCTGATGCTGATGTAAAAACACTTAAAACTTATAAAACAAATTGACTTTAGGTTTCATATTGATGCCTGGCTGCTGCTCTGTCTGGCACTGGCTGGCCGCTTTATAATCCTGTACAATAATATCGATTTCCGATTCGCTCAGTTCAATGGGCTCAATTGTGGCCACTTTCTTGAATCTAAAAACAAAAGGAAACATACCATATTTAGGCGCATAACACATCTAATATATTGCACAACTTACTTGTCCCTATTGTACTTTTCCCTTATAGCCTGCGTGCTTAGCTCTCTGGCTGACTTGTGCGTCTTGCACAGCAGCACGACTACATGCTTCAATTGTTCCAATGTGTACGTGGTAATCTCCTCCAGCTGCGCCGTCCACATTGGCATACCAAGAATGTGACGGGCAAATGCAAGCGAAGCAGCCGACATGAGCGAGGGCAAATATTGCATATAAGATTCTCCCTCCAATAGTGACAGCTCACAAATGTACTGCAAATCGTAAATAAATTAGGTATTGCTCAAATCAATTAACTGGTCAGCACGCAAAGATCACCTACCAATGTCATGTACTTCAGCTTCTCGGGCATATCGCACAGCACGGCGTAGGTGTTGATGAAAACGTAGGGTGTTGGTGTGCACAAATTGAAGGATAGAATTTTAAGAAACACATTCTCCATGCGCAACACTTGGGCCTTTGTATAGCTGTCGTCAGTGAGAAAGACAAACTCTCCAACATCTGGTGGGTAGATCTCCTCATATTTGCTGTGTGCAAAAACAAAAAGCATAAATGAAGCTTGCCTCTAAACAACTGGAAGTCTATTTTGAAATGGGTTACTTACGAGGCAATGTACATGGCTGCCGTGCCAACCAATTGTAGCTTGGAGCGCTTCACCGACATCTGGCTGAGGAAGCGATCCAAATATGAGACTGATAAGTACAGAGTCTCCGTGTCCAGTTTGTATTCCTCGGCGACTTCGACCAGCCAATCAACCAGAATGGTGCGCATCGAGTGATTGATGTCAGTTTGGCGACGCATGTATTGCGCTTTTGGGCGATGCTTTTTCTGCCAATGAATATAAGAGGAATGGTTAACAAACGGGTCAATTTCATGTATTGCTTATATTATAAATTTAGTTAAGTTGAATTTGTAATAAGAAAACTACATTCCCTTCAAGCACATCCTAAATTTGCATCAAAATTGTAAGCATAAAGAATTTATGAAAATCGCATAGAAAGGCCCTACTTATGGGAAGAATTAACGAGTAATCAACAATTGTTCCCTCTCTCTTAATACTTATAATTCTCTTCATGTATTCAAGATGTTTGACAATGTTTGAAGAGGCACCAATGTGCGATAGAGTAATTGAGACCCACGTAGACGGTATCTCATAGTCCATAGCTCGCTGTCAGATCACAAAATACCTTTTCAAATTTACTCATTTAATTACATATTTATCTTAACACTTCTTTGAACTATTTGTCTTGACTTCTCCCTTCTCCTTCGCTATTCAAACAACTTGTATTCGGAGTTTGCTTTAACTTTTTGACTACACTTGGGACTTGAAAACTTAACTTGTTCACGGCGATCCTCAGCTATCATTTGTGCTCAATCGAATTTGCCAATTTTTATTTGTTTATTGGTTATTTTGCAGTACGTGAGCCACATATAAATTTTAGAGGTACGCCACTCCCATCCTACAAATCTTGGCCAAAAGAGGCAATACGAACACGATGTACATTAGGTGTTTATTTAATGGGCAGTTTAACGATTATTGGACACGCCAAGCGCCATCGCACATGATCAATACAGAAAACTGATGAAATGGGGGAAATGGAGAAAGAATTCCCAATTTTGTGTATACATTTCTGATAATTCCTAATTCCCATTGGTTTTCGGATAGTATAATACTTAAGGAGAAAGTCTAGAAAATAATAGCAAATATTCCATAAATATTTATTGTTGTGTCTTCCGAGTTGTTGTTGGGGTTGTTAGGCCGTAAACAAGCAAACAGGGAACCAAACAACAATCGACCCGGCAACCGAGCAAACAAACTCAAAGCTCAAATCCGGTTTGAATATCAGAACGTGAAATACTTTTACACTGAAACAAACGGATAACGTGCATATTTTCTAGATAAAAGTAAGTTTTAAGAGGACAAGATGACGCTTAAAATGCCATTGTGCACCAAGGAAGACCTCAGCGAGGCGGTCAAGCTGCAAAAGCGGGAGCAGTACGAGGACGAACGCAAGAAGCGCATCTTCAATGCCAGGCAGCGACTCTTTGGGGTGAGTACACTGTACCATGGCAGTCCCAATCGTCTGTCATCCATTTTGCGTTGCACAATCTGTAGCTCGATTTGGAGACGTTGGACCGCCAGATTTTGGAGAAAAAGAAGCGGAACAGTGAGCGGCTGGAATGTGATAAGCGCTATGAGGAGCAGGAGCAGCTGCAGAAGCGCCTGATCACGGCCAAAGAAAAGGAACTAGAAAAGGAGAAACGCATTGTGGACTCGGATCTCAACTATTACCGTTGCCGTTATCAGCGTCGGGATCAGCGTCGCGAGTTCGATCTCAACGATCCAAACTTTCTGAAAAAAGCAAAGCCGGCACGCATTGCCGACGACGACATATCGCTTGGCATATCGAGTGCACAAATCTTCTGCGGTGAAGATTTGCATAGGAGCGATCGCCAGGTAAGGCAGCGCGAGCAACAGCGCGCTTGGCTTGATCAGCAGGTTAAGGAGCGCAAGCAGGCGGAGGAGGCACGCCGCACGGCCGACAATGTGTACATGGAGAGCGTACAGTGCCGTGACAAGCATCTGGAGGAGATGGCCAAATCGGATCACCGCATGCGCCAGCAGATCATACACAAGGTGCGCCAGTTCAATATCAATCTGGCCAAGCAGAAGCAGGAGAACCGTATGCGCACCAAACGCGAGACATATGAGGACGACATGGCCGAGATCTACAATATGCTGTCCAGCGATATGCTGACCGAGAATCCGGATGTGGCTCAGTCGCGCAGCAACCCGAACAAAAAGATCGCCTTCATGTATCGCGGCATGACACCCGACGAGCTGCTAGACTTTCGCAAGGGCCAGGAGCAGCAGCTGACCGACACGCTTCAACGCAAAACCGAGGCTCAACTGATGGACAAACAGTGGGATCAGTATGCCATGAACATGGATCGTACCCTCATGCTCAAGCAGATCGAAATGGATCGCAAGCACAAGCAGCAGCTGGACGATCTGGTGCGCGCCAATGCCAAGCTCGCCACCGAACAGGATCAACAGCGCAAGGATGCCCTCGTCCAGCTCAGCAATGCGGTCAGCGATGAGTTCTACGATCAGTTCAACAAGACCTCACGTTAGTTAGCTCAAAGCCAATTCATCTTCAGTTCACTCAGTTCATCGTTTAACTGAGCTCTGTGTGGAATTGTTTCAGCAGCCCTTGAGCTCGGCTGCCGGCGCAGTTCCACACACGAGGTCAGCAGTAAACGAATTGCAGTCAAACCAAAAAAAAGTTAATAAAGATTAAATTAAAAGTTGAGCGTTTTGTTTGAAAGCAGGACCCTAATAGCAATGATTGTCAATATATTACAATTTACTGACAAGTTAGTTCCAATGGAAGTTAAATGATTAACTATTAAAATTTAAATGGAATAGGCAATTATACTAAGTTAGCCCTTAGACAGGGCCCATGCTTGGTAAATTAGGCTTCAAACACTGAGCAAAATATGGCAGCATAATATACCAACCAGTCAAATTCGTTTGGCATGCGCTTACAGCTCAAAAGGCACGTGAACACACTTGAAAAGAATGTAAATGGCGCTGAGGTAGAACCCCGGGTACTTTTTCACACAAGACGAAACCGGCGATGCAGGCAACTAAACAATAAAGGAAAGAAAGGCAGCGACGCGCAAAGACATCATTTCCACGAGGGTGCGGCTCTTTGGGTTCAGTTACTGACTGTGAGCACATTTGTCTGTCTGTGTTTGTGTGCATGTGTGTGGTTATGATAGCTAGTACACCCAGATCCCTAGGCGCTAAATGGAAAACTAACTTTGCTCAAGTGCGTGACAAGGCGCAACCTATCACTGAGATCGGGATAGAATGACTCGCAAGGAAATAAGTATCAAATCCCATATTTTTAATATATGTGCTTACATCTGTAACTAGTAGTCGCTCGAAAAGTATAGCTGTTTAAAGTTATAAACACATTTAAAAACTGCATTTAAAGTCTGTAAGTCGCTATTTAAGAACCCTTTTTCCTTGAATAGTTAATTAATTAAAAATATAGAAGATGAGAAGGGCACGGAAACATCGTGTCTACGAAACAAGCATGGTAAAAACATCCCACAAGTTAAACCCGGCGTAAATGTCATTTGTAAATTAGAAACTGCCCTGATATCAAACGCCTCTAATTTTCAAGGGACTCCTCTCTCCATTTAAATGTATTTATGCAATTGTATAACGAAGTATTGCACTTACCTCACACTCGCGGAAATTCTGCAAAATATCGCGCTGATACTGGACCACCTCGAAGAAGCGCTGGCGGTCGTTGCGCGGCAATATCGCATTTTCCGTGGCTGCAGCAGCATCAGCAGCATTCTTAAGATCAGCCATATCCTCGACATGGCTGCTGTCAGTTAGCTGGGCGCTGCTGATATTGCTGGCATCCACCATGGACCGGTCCACTGACATGGGCGATAGCACATCGGTGACGGACATGGGCGTGCCATCCAGATCATAGCCTTGCTGTATGGCGAACTCCTGGTGCACCAGGTCGCTAAAGCAGGATATGACGATTACAATTTAGACGGATTCTTGTGCTCAGACATCACTTACAGCTTCTGGGCGCCACTTTGTATATTCTCCTTATCGGCAACGTTGGCCTGCGGCTTGTTGGTCTGGGCTTGTACCTGTGTATCGACATTGTCCTCGTAAACGGAGAATGTCTTGAATTGCTCCACCACGGGCACAACGTTCGATTTCTTGGGGCCGCCATAAGCAATGTTTTCGTCCACCTTTAGCTTAGCAACTTCGCGGAAACCCTGCCAAATGTAAATACATATAAAAAACAAATGCAAAAGTAACGCAATTACAACATGGTCTCTCGGTGTGCGCATGCGTGTGTTAGAAGGGGAGGCCGCATAGCGAACGTTAGTTGCTGTCTCGCTTTATAATTTTTCCATGCTGGGAAAGATCCTGTTACGTGCGCTGCGCGCAGTCGTCGTTCGCTTTTGTTGTTTTTGTTTTACTGTGCGCGCCTTTTACTGGCTTCCCTGCCTGCATTTCTTTCTCCTTCTCTTTTACACACACATACAGACAAACACAAGCGCACTTTGTGCTTGTATGTGCGTCTAGGTGCTGTAATTGCATCTCAATGCACATCTCGTTTGCCTGTTTGCTTTAATAGCCCTTTCCATTTTCGCTTTATTCTGCTAGACTCTGCTCTCATATGCAAAATCGCGCGCAAGATTCACTCTTGCATTGTGCATTTCTAGGTTAGTTTTGCTGATTAGGCGCGCACTCACAACCCGGCAAAAAAAAATAATGCATGTGTATATATGTATATTCTTAATATAATATGTAAGAACTTATATAATTGTTAAATGCAACTTTTTAGGGCGCCTTTCGATTTGAACGAGTGCAAAGAGAGATAGCAACAAGGAGACACACATAGGCAGACAGACAGAAAAAAAACCACCACTATTCTGTGTAGTGATCGCACTACCACCACCAGCAAAGCTGAACGCGGCAGCTGCATAAGAGTGCTCAACAACAAACATACATAACAAAATTAGGATGGGAAATGTGATGGAACCTTACCACTTTGCCAGGGGGTGCGGGGTTGCCGCGCGGCACATTGCCATGGTTGTTGTTGGTATTCAGCACAACTAAATTGGCGCGCGGTGCCAGAGCCTTCTCCTTGCCACCAATTACAGCGAGTGGCTGCTTTGCAACAGCTCCCTTTTCCTTTAGATTCAGCATGCCGGGATTCTCCTTTTCACAGTTGTCACGATGTATTTGAAAACTTGCCATTTTATTGGTTCTGCTCGCCACAAAATAATAATTTAAATGCCTTTATTTGTATCCAAAGGCGCCGAGTGCTTTGCTTTACGCCTAGCTCTCTTCTTCGTCACTAAAAAATGGTGGCTTTATCTTCGCTTCTCTTTATTTTATGTACGCAAGTGTGTATGTAATTTCGTTTCTTTAGCTCAGCTGCTGCGTCGGCGGCTTCGAATCGTCGTCGTCGTTTGTTGAGTCGCTTGAGTTTCGGTTTTTACTCACACTAGCATAAACGCATATGTATGCGTTAGTACAAATGCTCAAAGTCGAACACATTTACACACAAGCAAAATTTATCATAAATATTTGAAGCACAAATTACATTCAACATTCACGACGCATACGATATATTATAATACAGTTGACTTTTAATTTTTACAACATTTTTGCTCCTTTGCGGCACTTGAATTTAATTTACATATAAAACTATGCCCATGCTAACACCAATCTCGATTTGCTTTGCTCGTTCGCTTGCACCGTATCTTAGATCCGTCACCGTGTGCGAGTCCCGAAATTATGCTTGACGCACGGCCAAAGAGCTATTGCTATTTGATTTTTTCCCGGTCAATTATAAGCGAGCTCGTTTATTCGTTCTATTTTTCGATACTTAACATTTTCTATCGATATAACCATGTTGCCGATATTTTTCGAGTCTTTTATAGCGCAACTAAATCGTGATTTCGAGGGCGGATATCCAAATATTGCTTATGGCACATCAGGAAATAATTGAATGAGTTTTAATGGTTTTCAATAAAATTATGCTACTAATTGTAAATTATATATTTTATATGCGATATAATATTCGGAGTAGCTTAAACATGATTCTGTTAATGCACTGTTATGCACACAAGAAGTGGCAGCACTGTATGTTAAGTATTGCCAGATCAGCAAGTAAATTTATATGTTTGAGAATTGAATTTAAATGCAAAAGTGTTCCCTTTTTTCTTACTTATACTTTTACCATTCAATAATGTTGCAATTATCTGGTCTATCCCGCATACCCTAATGATAAATAGGCAATAGCGTACATTAAATGTATATATTGTATTGTATATGTTGTATAAAGTAGATTATATTCCTTATATTATATTATAAAATTAGGCTTTAAAGTATAAATACAGAGTTGGGTTAAGTTTTGTTGTATTATCTGAACCTTTTATAACCTATAGTTAGGCGTTGCAATTAGGTTGCCTGGCCATTTTACCAAATTAAAACAACAAAAATACAAAGAAAAATCTGCTGTAATCTGTAAACAATGAAAGTACATTTCGTGTGAATAAGAGAGCATAGAATCTGTCGTCTTCTGTCTTGCGCAACTATATTGCATTGCAAAAATAAATAGGAACGACCTAAATTCAGGTAGCGAATAGAACGGACTACTGGTCACACACACAAATTAGATTTGAAGCGCACACAAAAATTGTGCAAGATGTCCAGCCGTCTGCCCCTTGTCTAAGGACTCCCTGGGCTGAGATAATAAACATCTGCAACCGGCCCGGCAACCCTCTTCGATCTGGTAGCTTGCCGGCACATCAAATGTTTGATGCCTGCGACAGTTAAAGTTGGCTCAAGAGAGAAAAATTCACCAAATATATGTAGAAGCCATATTATAAAGCAGCATTAAAAATGTAATAAGCTAATACCACAAGCATTATTAGCAAATAGTACCTTAGCTGAAACCATCGGCGAATAATGTGGTAACACTAATATTTCTTAAATTGTTTGTTTATTGTCGACGAAATCCTATTGCCAGTAAATAATAAATGTTCGAATTTGCATAGGATTCAATGTGACACTGAATTTAGAGGAGTCGCTTGCGTTATTGGCAAACAACGGCTCATATGAGGATGTAATATAGTCAACAGTCTGTGCCTGAGTGCCTTCGTGATGGAACTTGAATCTCTTCATATCGCTCAGCGCCATGCTGCCATCCAAAGTTGTTTCACGTATTTCCTGGCCACCCAACGCATCGAAAATGTGGCGAATGTTGAAGCTTACCGTGTGACCCTCATTTTGATCCATAAAGTTCTCAACACGCAGTAGGATTTCATTGCTGGAATAGGGCTCCAGTGTTAGCAGATTTACCGACTGAGGGAAGTCGCTGAAATCGGGAACGCTTAGGGGCTTTACAACACTGGCCGTGTTGGAGTTACTGAAGAACTTCCAGAAAGGCAAATGAATTTCCTGTTGGGCCAAGCGTTCGGCAACAGTGGGCTTTTCCTCCGCTGCGTTTAGAATAAGAAAAACTTTACCGCGTGCAATCAGCCCCTCGCCGAACTGTATCTCATTCAAGGCTTCGCCCACACCAAAAGCATCGTCCCTCAGCAGGCGGCGATGAAGCATAAGCTCTACCTGACCATCCGCCAGACTGGTGCCGCCCTGGGCGCGATCGTTGAGCAATGCAATACGCTTCTGCTTATCCTCAATGGAAATGCGAGCAGTCACGGGATAATAATTGCCGCTCACAGACTCGGTCATATCTGGAGTAAAGTATTCGCGCTGGTTTCTCTCACGTTTGAGCATCTCACGTCCATTGGAATCGGTATAGAAGACACCATTTGTGGCGAGGTCACTCTTGAAGCGGGTAACAATCTCTCGCCCATTGTCATCATCGATTGGAATTGGACCAACTAGCCATTCGAATTCTACACGATTTACGCCCTCGTAGATGCGAATTACTTGTGAAATCCACTCGTTCACCTGCTGATGCACTTCCTTCACCTGGACACCATCGTAAACCGTATAGTCAACTTTGTCCTCCACCACAGTAATGTCGCCATCCGGACGGAAAATGTAAGCTCCAGATGAACGCTTCTCGGAGGCACTGTTGTCACCCATCGCACCCTTGTATATGGCAAAGTTCTGCTCTATATTTTCCGAAACTCCGTTCATTTCCACTGATTTGAGGTGACCGGTGCTCTTGTCGAAGACAAGCTTGATATGCTACAAAAGAAATGGAAGAGTGCCGAATCTTAAATACTCTTGCAGACAGATGATAATTCAAAGGGCATTGTAAGACTTCTGCGAACTCTGCCCTAGGACATGGCAAAGTTGACTCAGCTCGTTATATTTCCCTGATCAAGAACATATACTCTAAGTGGTATCGATCCTGTGCCCAGCCCCTGGTTCCATGTAAGTTTAAGTTATTTCTGTTACTTACCGAGTTCTGAACAGTAAACTCATCAGTTTCGTCATCATCAGCCATAGGTTGCGTTTTGGACAGTTTTTGCTTTATTGAATGCACTTTTTCAAAACGCTTGAGAGTTGGCCTTTTTGCGTTTTTGGGAGCCGGCAGCACGCGTATATAGAAGTTGGCAATTTTATCCACAGTTGCCTTGAAGACCAGCTCATGCTGCGTTTCGTTCGAGCGGTGCTCTATGGACAGGACTTGCCATGGCACCGGTACCACCTCCGAGGATACCTCGTGACCTATAAGAGGTACATGTATGTAGTTAATCAATTGAATAGCTATACCAAATCTTTTACATACCCTTCTCATCTGTGACCAGGTAGTTCTCATCTTTAACCGGCACACGAACGTATTGCGAAGAGGGATGAGCGAGTGGGTTAAACAGAGTCACGACCACATTGTTGGCGCTCTCTCGGGTAAAAGCACAGATACTTATGTTCAGTTCCAAGCAGCTTTCGAACTCGCCTGTGGTCAGGTTGGTGAGCAGCCTAAGCGCATCCCGGCTGTTATCCTGAGCATCGATCATGGCATCCGTTAGCAGGCGATCGTAGTCGCGGGCCACTGCCTGTTTCTCTGTGCCCGTAATGGCATCGTGATGCTGCATGATACCCATAACTTGACGCAGCGAGTCCAAATCTTCAGTTTGCTGCGCGCTCGTCAGTTTGGCGAATGCGCTCAGCTGCTTCACCGTCTGGAGCAAATGGTTGCCATCGCGCTCGAAACGCTTCTGGGTGGGACGCGAGGTGAAGTAGCCGGTCCAATAGGAGTGCGAGTCACTGGAGTACGGAAAGAAGTCTTGGGTCTTTTGTGGCCATGTCAGCTGCATTTGGTGCAGCTCGTTGAGGTAGCACGAGGGCGTTGAATAAAATACATTCACCTTGGAGCCCTCCACTTGTCGCGCATTCACATATCTGAAATCAATACGATTAACAATGCTTCTTGAATACTTGATAAGGTATTTCCTACTTAATCAGCTTGTCCATGTTCTTGAAATTGATTTCGGCATCCTCGTACTGGAAATCATCGCCCATGGGCACCATAATATGTGTAGCACGGTATGAGTTGGACATTGTCTTTACATAGCTAATAAAGTCATCCACTCTTGACTTCACATTATTATCATAGCTATCATCGCTATCGATAATTGGCTCATCGCTGCAGAGTATATCAAAGCAGAAGCCGGGCGGTGCGGAGTAGTGACGGTAGAGCAGACCGGTAAAGAGGTCTGAATCACTAAGGGACTCACTGGATTGCCAAATCATTTCCAGGGCCACTTCGTTAATACGCTTGTTCTTCTCAACATGATCCATGCGGGCAAAGAACTCACCGCTGAAGCCCATCTGCGCAAAAATTGATGCCATTTCACGCGAATGACCAAAGGGATCAATCTGCCAGCCAATACGCGGACGTGCACAGGAACCAAAGGTGTCATTAAGTAACCTGAAAATTACAGTTAAAATTAGTTATTGTATCTAATCTCAAACATCTTCTTAGCCTTACTTTAAGCCTAGTGAAAACTGATCAATAACGCTTTGATAATGGACGGCGGCCTCATCGTTCATGCTCCAGGCACCACCGATGAACTCCAAGCGGCCCTCGTTCACCAATTTCTTGACCAGACCCTGCACTTGTTCCGTCTGTTCCTGGTACCACTTGAAGAAGAACGCTGTCTCCACCTGTATGAAACGGCGTTTCGAATCCTTCAGAAGCTCCGCAACCACCGAATCCAATATATATTGCACACCAGCGTGCTGTATATTGTTTTTGGCTCCATAATAATACTGATCCACAGTTTTTAACCAGCCGACATCGTCGTGCGAATGAGGCACCAAATGCACATTGATCATATTTGGCTTGGTTTCAGGACATGACTGCAATTTCAGATAAAAAGGTAAAGCATGCGATATTAGGATGCGATAGTTATTACTCGTAATTTATTTACCTCATAGCCACAAATAGCCTTGGATTGCTTTGTGCTGATCAATAGCACAGCTGCTAAAAGAACTATGCTGCTCAAGCGCCGCATTGTTCCTAATTGTTTCCGCCTATTCCACAAACGTCTGCAACTTAGAACTGGAGGCTAGAGCGAAGCAGCAAAAGCTTTTATATGCGCTCAACCATGCGATTAGGCCCCAGCAAACGCTGGCGCTGCCATCCAAAAAGATAACAAAAACGCGCCCGGATTAACTACATACTCGTACGGGTGGGGTACATAAGTATGCATAACATTTTCCAAGTAGGTGATAAGCCTTCAATCGTAGCACTTAACCAGCTTGGATACAATTCGTTCTTGTCAATAACATCAATTCATAAAAGTTGCTCGACAATCAATATAGAAAGTTGTATTCCAAATGGAAAGTCCATTATTAAAAAAAATAGCAATTATTAATCAAATATCCTACATAACGTTGAGTATTTGGAGTATCAATCAGTTAGGACAACATTTGCTAACTTACCCAAATATTATTATATATTTGTTTACTTTAACCTATAAATAGGGGATATAATTAAAATAATTCATGATTGTTATTATAAGCTTAGTATATATAGCTAATATGAAATAGAACATCCATAAACTAGTCTGGGATTCGAACCAGAATCCTTCTGAATACCTGGGAGGATTGCTGTTCTTGATTATAATTGATTAAGGCGCGAGTTAATCTCACCCAAACCTGTTCAGAGAGTATGCAAAATTCGGCATGGCATATAAAACATAATTAAAATTATTTATTAAAGGTGCTCGATGAGTACTCTATATAGCCATGCCTGAATGTCCGTCCTTCTTGTTTGTTCGTTGCGATAATAATAACGTTATCCCAAGTGGCTATAATAATTATTGAAATACTCGTAAATTCAAAGTCATAATTTTGGTAATCGTGAGATTATTGGCTTCATTTAAATGGATTTTAATTGACGATTGCAGCAATCGATATTTGCGTGCCTTACTGTTTTACTATTTTTTATGAATTTGTACTAAGTTACCGCATTACCTGATAAGAAACTAAACAAAATATTCATTCTTGATAGATTAACGCTTTATATGCCGGAATTTAGACTCTACTTTGGCTCACAAATTAGTTGGACTATATGCATATGAGAAAAGTGAAAAGTAAAAGGCCCTGAGGCAGCCCGACAAATATATTTTGTTTATGTTTTTCTTTCTTTTGCTTTTCATATTTATATAAATATCTATATTTATATTCTAGAACTAAACTCCACCGGGCACTTACACATTTGGATGCAAGCGAAGAAGGACGAAAACAAAACCAAAATAAATATATTTGTTTTTTTTCTAATCTTCACCTGAAATCTGCAATGAAACTTAATATTTGGATAGATAGATAACAACTTAAATGAACAAATTCTTTTTTCAATAACTAAATAACTAAAACTCTGATTAAATGTTCAGAAAACTTGTTTATAGATTTTAGATAGAACTTAATCTGTTTACATGAAAAGAGAACGGAAGCAGATTAGGGGCTTACTCATTGGCTAGTTGATGTGATGTTGGTTCGGCGCCCGAAGCTCACCTTGCAGTCGCCCGCAGCTCGCCGGAGTGTGGACGTTTTGGCCTTCGTCGTTCAGAAAACTTACAAATGTAATTATTTTCAATGTAAGTTTTCTTTTTATAAAATTCTATAGGCTAGCAACGATATGCTAAATTGTTAATAATCATATTTACCGTTCAGATGGATGGCCAATCAATTTGTGCTGCAATTCGGATTGGACATGGAATCGATAACGAATACGGGGTCGTCAGTCAGCAGTCCAAATAAGCCGAAATGAGTCGAGAATACCAGAAAACTCCTCAAGGATTTACAGGTAAGTCCGGAACAAGAACAAAACAAAATATTTTATTAAAAACGGAATGGTTTTTTTCTTTTCTAAAAAATAGAAGACCAAGGAAAAGAGGAAAAGACATGTATCTTTAAAATACGTTATTGCAATTATATATTGATTGCAACGATAATAATACTGGCATCTTACCGACTATGCCTAATCGTATGGGATCCACAACTAAATTCCAAAGAGTTGCCGCTGCGCAATGCATCGCATCTGACCGAAACACCTGGCCTGGTGCCAGCACAGAATCGAGGCAAGACTGCAACCTTTCGTTTCACACCACATCTGCTGGACATCATGGTATCTTCACGTCCTGCGTATCTAAGAAGCCAGGGTCGCACTGGTGTTAGCATTGTGCTGGGCGTGCCCACAGTGCAGCGCAGGAAGCAATCGTATCTGCGAAGTACTCTGTACAATCTCATAGAGAACATGAAAGCGGAGGAGCAGAACGAGACGCTCATCATTGTCTACATTGGCGAGACGGATGGGGAGGTTATAAAGCGGATTGTTCATCAAATCGAGTTGAGTTTCAGAGCACATATCGCGAGTGGACTTATTGACATCATAGCGCCAGCGCCCGACTACTATCCCGACACTGAGGAAAATGTGAGCTGGCACAGCAAGCAGAATCTGGATATTGCATATCTAATGGCTTATGCCCACTCCAAAGGCACCTACTATGTCCAGCTGGAGGATGATATATTGACCAAGCGAGATTTTGTGACCACCATGAGAAAATTTGCGCTCATTAAACTGGCTTTAGCTAATCCGCTTGAACCGACTTGGTTTGTCTTGGACTTTTGTCCGTCCAGCTTGGTTGGCAAACTGTTTAAAGGCGCCGAACTGCCTTATTTGATAACCTATATACAAATGTTCAACAAGGATATCTCCATGCACAAGATGCTCTTGTACTTTATAGAATACACATTTTGCCGCAACGATTCGCTGCATTGTCAACTGGACATGAACAAATATTGGCCACACTTCGATGTGTCCTTATTCCAGCACATTGGCAGCATCACGTTCAAGGAAAAGTTACGAATGTTGGGGCACAGACAAATTGACAACAAGCAGATTGAGATTAAGCGCAAGAAAGTCGACAATTCAGAGATTAAGCTTCGAGAGCTGCCCAACAAGGAGGCAAAAGGAGTCCAGTCGAACTTTACATTATTGCCAAAAAGTGCAAAGGCATAAAGAGAATATACGCAGGAACTGGAACGAACATTTCCGGAATTTACTTTTGGCCTTTAGAAAGCAGCTGCTAGCTCCTACAAAAATTGTGGAATTCTTTCTTCACACAAGAATGGGGATCAGCCAGAAGGGCTTGTCCATCCATATCCATATCGATGCCAGCATAATTAAGTGAGCGGTCGAGTAAACTTCTTTAGTCGGATGCAACCGACTGCGGAATACTCTGTCACACTTCAATAAAACCTTAAAACATGCTACCCCGATTTTATACACTCTTTGGATCGATCTTTAAGAGCTCGTTACAGATATAGCTGCTTATATTCCAAATATGAAGCCGCTAGCTTCAATATCAGAAAGCCAATATACTCTTTTCACTTCCTAATGAGTATAAAAATAAACTTATTTTTCGTTTCCCGCATAAAAGGTCGGCGGTGACTGTTCCCGACGATCGGAGTGGGTATATAGACGGCGTGATTCGGCAGCTTAAAGTTAGTCCGGCTCCAACATGAGAGCAGTTGTTACGTTCTTGGCCATCGTTGGCTGCGTGAAGGCCTCATTTAATGCAGATGTTTTCGATGTGGAGTGGAATAACTTTAAAGTCGATTACGAAAAAACCTATCAGGATATCAGCGAGCATTTGCACCGCAAGCAGATCTTTAAGCACAACAAGGAGATCATTGACAGGCACAATAAACGATATGCGGCAGGCGAGGAGACGTTTGAGATGGGCATCAATCAATTCACCGATCTTCTGTCCCATGAATTCGAAGCATTCATCCTAGGCGGACTCAACGCAACTGTCGATGAAACCGAGATAGATCTTATATACTCACCAACCGGCAATATCGAAATTCCGTCTTCGGTTGATTGGCGTCAGGAAGGCGCTGTTACCCGAGTAAAGGACCAGGGACGTTGTGGTTCCTGCTGGGCCTTTGCCGCAGTTGGCACTCTGGAGGGTCAGCACTACCTCAAAACTGGAGAGTTAGTTGAGCTTTCCGAAAAGAATCTGCTGGATTGTACGAGTGGCAAACCCTATTATAATCACGGCTGCAATGGTGGACGGGCCACAAGCGCGCTGCTTTATGTCAAAAGGAATCATGGCATAGATACGGCTAGCTGGTATCCCTATAAGGCTAAACAGGGCCATTGTCGATTTGATGGGAGTCATATAGGCGCAACAGTCAGCAGGATTGTACGAATAAAACGGAATAGTGAAAGTGCTCTGGCGGCAGCCGTTGCCAAAAAGGGACCCATTGCGGTGTCCATCGAGGCAACACATCTACATCATTACAGAGGAGGAGTATTACGCAAATCCTGCCACAAAAGATCCAATCATGCAGTCGTTGTTGTGGGCTACGGCCACGACACTAACGGCGGGGATTACTGGTTGGTCAAGAACTCCTGGGGTAGTCTTTATGGTGAAAATGGATATGTTCGCATGGCGCGTAATGAGAACAACATGTGCTTCATTGCCAGCAATGCCGTATATCCATTGGTTTGACCTGTAAAAAGGGGGTTAGTTAGAAGAATTAAAAAAATTACAATTCTTCAACAATTCTTCTACAATTCTTAATATATTCAGACTGTGTAACAAGAAAAAAAGTATTTATTACTCAATGGAGTGAGTTTACGGCTGCCGAGATTTCTTGCCCAATGAAATTTATATAGATTGGTTTTGATATTTAAATAGCTTTAAGAATTGCCTTTTAGTTATGCAAAATTTAAAATTATTCATAGTTCTGCAAAATAACAAAAAAATGTTTTGAATGAATTAAATTGTTAAACCTCCATTTATCAAGAAAGTTGAAACGAAAATATTTTTAAATTCTTTGCTCATTCATTTGCATGTGTATCGTATTAATAAAGTCAGCTATTGATTAATTTATTTGCATACGTTTATTGATCAATTTGCCGTTAGATACGCGCAACATCATTACATAGAGTTTCATAACGTTTTTAGATGTAGAGATATAGTCAGCATTAATAAACATCACCATAGTTTGAAATACATTTGTTATAACAAGTTAATAGAAGGACAAATACAATTCAAATGTTTCGTTATTTCAATACTATGTTTTCTTTTTATCACCCTTCAATTGTTTGCAACAATCTTAGGGCCGTGTATAAATATGTATATATATATGTGTATGTAGGTAGTTGATAGTTGCAGTAAATAGTTGTATAAATATTATAAACATTATCATTTTGATTAAAATGTGTGTATATATATTAAGCAACTTTGCGATGCAAGCATCGTCAGTCGTTTATTTCATTTTCCACAGCGCATCCAGTTCGTTTAATGGATCCTTGGTCTCCTGTTGCTCCTTGGCTGTTACTTGGGGTGCCATTTTCATTTGATATGAGGTCATAATGCCACCTAGAAAGTAAGGTTAATTATTTATTTTGCATATGCCGAAGCCAAATGGAGTATTCTTACGTTTGTTGAGTACATTATGAGCATTGCTCAGGACAATTTGCATGGACTGCTCCAGGATGGCTGCATCACGGAGCGAATTTTGACGCTGCATGCAAATACGTGACCACACATCGACCACATCTGATAAAGATTATACTAATTAGTGTGAATGATTCAACATGCAAAAGTTTTTATGCTCACTTATTAAAATGGGCCGCTTGTTTTGCGTGCCCATCAATGCACAAATTGCAATAGCCACCAGCTCAGAGCGCTCGGAGCCCGTCAAACAGTTCAAAATGAGCGGCGATGTGGGCGTATTGGTGGCCAGACAACGCTGCTGATGCGTCTGCAGCGCATTCTGTGCTATGCCCAGCAATTGAGTGGGTGAACTACAATCAAAGGAATGAATATTGTTTACATGACAAAAGGCAGCACATATTTGATTTATTTACGCTTTGGTCCATTGCTTGAGCTGCAGCAGCGATAAGTCCAGAATAGCATCGGCGCCATGCATCGATAGCTTCAGTTGGTATTCCGTGCAGTGGCTGAGCTGCTGCAGCTTTTCACAGCTCACAGTATAGTCATCGTAGTGAGTGGGCTGGTTTAGCAACTGCGGCCAATAAGGATCAAAGAGCTGCCAAAGAACAAATGAGTCTGGTTAAATTGGAAAACAGCAATCAATTAAATCCTTTCACTTACCTCATTCGTGGTATGCAGGCAAACCACAGTTCGAGACTTTTCTGACCAAATCATAGACCAGAAATCGTTGATGGTGTTCGCTTGCGGAGTTTGTGATACGATAATGTTTGGGCAGCCAGCACAGAGGCTCTGGGAGGTGGAGAAGAGAATTAAGAGTTAGGAGGAGAACAACATATAAGGCTCAGTCAGTTAAGCTTCAAGCTAATCCACACACGAACAATTTAGGTTATCGCTTTAGACTTACCTTCATGTAAGCCGCATTGATATAGTCATCCGTCTGCTTGTCCAGCTTGACGCGCGCATGATCGTAGGGCAGACAGTCCAGTGAGCGATTCTTCTCCGGGAACAGCTTTGCTATGGTCGTCGTGCGTTTCACGCTGGTGTCCTTATCCAGCTTCTGCTGTAACTCCAGCCATTTGCTGCCCAGTTGGGTATTGCCATTTAACATTTTGACATGTAAATTCTCAACGAGCTTCTCGTAGCTCTCCACCTCCTTGTGAAAGTATTTGAGCGTCTTATCATCGCCGAACGGATCGTGAGCGCGCATTTGGAATGTAATTAGAGGATTTCCATTTGTTGCCTGTTGCTTATCGCTGGTGGAATGTGTCAATGAAACCGAATCCCAGTCAAAGTTCTCCAGGGAGCTCAAATCTGAGCAGTTGGAAAGATTGTCAATACTATTTTTTCGCAGCGCTGCAGCCGCTGAGGCTGAAGGCGAGGCCATCGGCGAGGCTGCAGCAGCTGTTGGTGTGCCCGCAATGGCATCCACTGCACAGTCGCTAGCAGCCACTGACGGCGGCGGGGTTGGTGTTGCCACAATCTGTGGCTGCAGCATCGGCGGCGGCACCGCGCCCGCACAGTCCAAGTCCAAATCGCTAAGCAAATCCACATTGCTGACATCAGACGTTGTGGGCTTGGTTTCGGTCTGCAGCGCCGATGAGGCATAGGGTGCGCTGCTCGTGGTCGTCTGAGTGTTGGCAATGCTGCTGCCGCCGCTCTGCATATAAATTGTGGACTTTGGATTGATGGGCGCCGCGGCAGCGGTCGTTGCAGGCTGCTGCTCCGCCTGCAGCTGCGACTGCGGCTGCTGTTGTTGTGTGACCGTGCCGCCAGCCGAATGATATCCATATGGTGGCGTATAATAGTTGCCCATCACCTCGGCCGGTTGACTCGGAGCACTGGAGTCAGCGGCGCCATTTGCTGCCTTTGTATGCGAAACGATGGGCGACTATATAAAGGCAAAACAATTAGCAAGTGATTAGGTTTGATAATTCGTTAGAATCTGCGGGGTACTCACATCAAAGCCCGTGGCCAAACTGCTGCGATTGGCCTGCTCCGAGTCTGTGGTGCCCACAAGGGCCGCCTGCGGTTGTCCGCTTTGCGTGAATTGGCCAAAGCCATGCGAAACCTTTGGAATATTGTTGCTCTCATGCTGATAGCCGCTGCTGTACTCATAGATGCCCGTTTGTGGATTAAAGCTGTAGCCAGGATGATTTGAGTAGCTCAAGAAATTAGCATCTACACTGGAAACTGGCACTGAGGCGCCGGTGGCCACCGGATATTGCACGGCTGCTGGCGTAGATGGAACAGATGCAGACTGTGGCACCACTTGTGAAGGATACAAAGCTGGCTGAGGAGGCTGGGCAAAAGTTGAGGGCTGACCATAGGCTGTAGGCTGCGGCGCAGCAGAATAAGTCGCAGTTGGCTGCTGCTGCGGAGTTTGGGCTTGAGCATAACTGGCTGGTTGTTGGGGCATCTGCGCTTGTGGATAACTGGCTGCTTGCTGGGGCGTCTGAGCTTGGGAATAATTGGCTGCTTGCTGGGGCGTCTGTGATTGCGGATAACTGCCTGCTGGTTGGGGCGTCTGAGATTGGGCTGGCTGCTGAGGCACTATCTGTGCCTGCTGAGCATATGCCGCAGCAGCCGGCTGCGGATACATAGCAATTTGTTGTTGCTGCGTAAAACTGGATGCCTGCTGGGTCGCAGCCACAGCCGGCGGATAAGCCTGTGCAGCATTAGCTTGTTGATGGGCCAAGGGCTGCTGTGTCGTCTGCGGCTGGGCATATCCCAACTGTTGTGGCTGTGAGTAGCCCAAAGGCTCGCTGGGCTGCGCGGATGTGGCCACATAGAGCGGCTTCTGGTAGTTGTAGTTCTGTTGAGCAGGTGAAGCTGCAGGCGCTGGATACGCAATTGGATAATTGTAGCCGTAGCCCAATTGTGGCTGTTGGCCATAAGCTGCTGCTGGCTCCGCCGGGGGCAACTGCTGCTGCTGCTGTTGATGCTGCTGTTGCATGCTGAGCTGTGCCATTGCACCGTGTAGCGTTTGGGAATTGGGCGAGGCTTGCGCCTTGTAGGCGGGCGGTGCAATGTGCTGCTGTTGTTGCTGATACATAGGATTGGTATAGCCCGCGGCAGTGGGATCGTAGTATTGCTGCTGCTGCAGGCTATACGGCGGCGGCGGCTCATTGGGCGGCGGTGCGCTGGCGTAGACAGAGCAGGCGGCCTGCGTGGGATTCTCAGAGCCTACAGGCACCGGGCGCACAGTGGGCAGATAAGTTGTGGCATCCAGTGTGGCTGCGGCAATGCCATTTTGTTTGGCCTTCAGATAATCACGTAGTTTGGGCGCGCCACTAGACACAGTTTCTGGCTTGCTGACAGCGGGAATAGCAGCAGCAGCTGGCGCCGCTTTGACGCTCTGCAGACGCTGCTGTCGCTCCTCGGATTGCACATCGCGTGCGGACTTGAAGCGTGTCAAGAGTTTTTGCACATTGCCCGCTAGCTTCTTGTAGAACTCCAGACCCTTGGCCGACTTGGCCAGCAGATCCTCATACACATCATAGGAGGCAGCCAGCGAGCTGTAGAAATGCTCACGCTTCTGTTTCACGTCCTGCAGCGTTTTTAGCACGGGTGCGGCACGCGCATACGCCTCGGTCAGAGCCTGCAGTATATTTTGTTGTGCCAGCATATTTTGATCGAGCAGCTGGGTGAGGCTATCGTGCTTGGCCAGCTCCGTGGCAAAGAGCACCTGCAGGCCCTCCTGGCCGCCATGGGCAATCACCTTGGTCGTGATGTCATCCTCATTGATGGCAATGCGCAGATCTGCATGGAATTGTGCGCGCTGCGCCTTCATCTCATTCACCTTGTTCACAATCAATTTGACATCCTTGAAGATCTCTGTGGTGTTCAGTTCCGAGCTGAGCTTGGGCATCAGCTGTTGTATTTCCTGCAGCGGACGCGCCAAGATTTTCAAATTATTCACATGCAAACTCATGGCCTTGCGGAGCGTATTGTTGGACTCGCCAGCCCTAGCGTGCGCTTCGCTGTATTTCTGGAATTCGCGCGTCAATTCCGTAATGTGGGCATTGGGTGTACGCTGCACGCCGCTGGCTGTTTGAAATTCACGCTCCGCTTGGGCTTCCGCTTCGAGCATGTGCGTTAGCTCACTGAGATTGGTCTCCACATCGGCTGTGATTTCCGCGAGCTGGGACATGGCCTCAATCAGATCGCTGATGGCCGTTTTGTTGGCATGCA